ATAAAATAAATAAATAAATAAATAAATAAATAAATGACCAACAAGTATTTTCAGCCTGTTGCATTTGGGATATTTTTGAAAGTGTTGCAAAATATAGACGACCTTGCAGGCGGGCTCTAAGAAGAGACTGGAGACGTGATTTAAATGGAAACCCCGGTGGGCTCAGTGCTGGACAGGAAAGCAGGATGCAGTGTGGTGTGATTGACGCGATTGTGGATTGTAATATTGATCGATGGGTGGAAGCTGTTGGATGAAATAATGGTGTTTATGGGGCCTACCAGAATGCTATTAAGGACATACTGGTAAAACTCCAGCGAAGCACCTTGAACTGTCCTCAGCAGAGGTGCAAAGATTATTTCAGAACCACGGACAGCACCTCCATCGAACAACGGCGTTTGCAGAGAGGTCAAAATAGTGCCACGATTCAACTTGAACACTCCCCCCAGTGATTACTTGAATGAGAAACTGATTAATCAAAATCTAGAAACTGATTCATAGATAAAAATAAAATAAAAAATACATTGATATTACCAAGTATTTAACAATCTGGTGATTGCTGGAGCACACCATGATCTGCATTTCAGCACCACAGACAGCGCATTTAACACTCCTCCAGCTGCAAGTTGGGATACGGAGATCCAAAAGTGCCACAATTTGACAAAAAAGAAATCATTGCATATCAACTTAAACTTACAAACAAATTGGAAACAAATGCACAAATAAAACTTTCAAAAATGCATTTAGTGTAAAATTGTTGGGTATTTGTTTTATTGTTGCAGCGTTTCATGAGTTAACTTGATGCGCTGCCTTTCCATCAAAATCTGTGTGTGGCTAGCACTGCTTTGATGAAGAAAACGTATTAGCTAATCAGAAAATTATCCGTAAATTTGTTAAACACTGAAAAAAAAAATTACACGTCTTTTAAGATATAATTCAGAATTTGAATGTGCAACTAATAACTTATTGGTGTGCTTCAAAACCAAAAGGCAATAATGCATTTATTTAATTTCTTTATTGTATTTTGTCACTTTTGGATATCAGTTTCACACTAAGACATGTTTGTTATTATTTGCAGAGCATTTCACTTGAAAGCTTGAAACAAAATGGAGGTGGACATCATCTCAAATTATGACTACCTGCCTAAAATGAGAGCATGGCATCTGCTGGATTTATTGCAAAAATATGAACCTGCCGTATGCATGCAACACATGCGCACAGTGCTCGGGAGAAAGAGTGGAGGTGGAGGGGCTGAGTAAAGTATTAGTATTATGCCTGGATTAAGCCTGTGCAAACTGCTTGTAGTCCATTGAAACATGAATAGAGGCCTCCCCACCCCTTATTTCCCTCCATGTTTGTCCTCTGTGTCCTGAGGGTCTTGACCTGCACACCCTAGCACGTGCTGTAGCCATTCAGATGGAAATTAACCTATGCTGCTCCCTTTTTTTTTTCACCCAATCCTTTCTATTATCCCCAGGAAGAGTCAACTCGACATGCCACGACACATACTCCCTTCAAATATTGAAATCTGCTGCCCTTAAAGATATACATGGCATGCAGCATGCCGTGTTTTCTGTGTGTATCTGATTTAACGATGGAGGTAAACAAACTGCCAAGATGTCCCGACAAGTGAACTACACTCAACAGAGACAACCTAATTAAAACAAAGAAAAAAAAGGTGTGCCTTAATAAACAAAAAAAAAAAAAAAAAAAAAAAACAGCTGTCCCCTCTCCCACAACCTTTTCCAGCTCCCACCTCTCTCCTCCTCTCTCTGCTCCAGGGGAGAGACCAATGGGTGAGAGTGCTGAGGCGGGATAATTGATAGATGCACTGGCTATCCTTATCGATCAGGGCTGTATTGACCTGACCAAATACATTGAGATGGAGTGTGGAATTCAACACAGATGCAAAGACGAATTGTTTTCATCGTTAATGCGATCTTTAAACGCCTTCCAAACCTCACCTCTTCCTGTCTCTCTCTCTCTCTCTCTCTCTCTCTCTCTCACACGTACAGCTTTGCAAATAAGCTGTTTGTTTTTATGCTGTTTACACTCCAATGCTCCGAGTATTATGGAAACAGTCACACCGTTGGTATCTTTTCTAAAACTGCGAGGCACGTCTCTCCCCTCGCAGATTCGATGTGAAGGACACGAGATAAGCCCCCCAAACAGTGCCCATATCTCTGTTCTGTTTTCCTTTCAGGAGTGGATTGTCATTTGAGTGTGTGTGTGCAGACACTGGCATTTTCACATTAGCTAAGCAGGGCAGCTGTATTGATTTGTGTGACTGTGATGAATTTGGAATAGTAATTTGAATTTATTGATTGATGTGGCTGAGCGAGTATGGCCCAGCCTCACTTTCAGCAACACAACCCCGCCTCCCCCCTTCCAATCCCCACTAACTCCCACTCCCAGCCCACATGTGCTCTGAGGATAATTGTGATTTTAAATGCAGTAAGTAACATGTAGCTCCAGACATTTGCATAAGAGTCATTTGTCATTTCGCCCAACTGGAGTTTCCCTGAGATCTGCTGTGGTGGCAGAGTGATGCACAATAGGGTGTATGCTTAAAACGTGCAGCAGATCAGGAGGGAAGTTTGAGGGGAGATAATTGATTACAAGCATAGCCAGCGGATCACATTAAGCTCATAGAGAAGGCCACATGTATGGAGGGTCAGATGTGCCACAATTCAGCACAAAGATATTCCACAATACTATATTAAATAACCCATTAAATAGGACATTTGTTGGATTTGGAAGCAAAGGCATATATGTGACATGTTTGATATGTGCTAAATTACAATTTACTTAAAAAAAAACAGAATTAATTATTTAAAAGACTCCTTTTGTAGCAGATTATATACTTATTTTTTAACTGTAAGCCTTACCCATTCAGTCGATGGGCAAAATTAGCATTTGTCTAATTAAAATGATTGACCAAAAGTAGATTTGTGGGGAAGGTTAACCAGTCAATTGTTTCAATCTGTTGACAAGCAGCAGAAATTATTTAATTTCCTTCTTAGAAGACACGGGGACAATTCCTGAAAGTTTTTGCAAGGGGCAGGTAGATTGAACTGGAGAAGGGGCACCAAAACCAAATGCCATAAAAGCTTTCAAAAATTTCAGGAGTATTTTTTTATGTATGTTGCTATTGGAAGCTCATAAAATTTGGGCGCAATAAAATAAAACACTTAGTTTAGTATTTTTCCAAGTACAGTTTTTGTGTTTATGTCTTCAAGAACCTACTTATCAAAAACAAAGGAATGAATATGATCGTGCATAATTTCTCACCTGCTACAAAAGAATTTAAGAGTACTGAAATTCGTAATCTCTTAAACATGTTGTTCAGGTATAATTTGAGTTGATTAATGTGAGTTGATTATTGATTGATGTTGGGGCATTTACTTAATCTTGGGGGGAAAGGGGTGGTAGCATACCCAGTTGCACACTTGGGTATATTGCAGCACAAGTGCTGTAAAGCAAACAAATGCACATTTAAATATTCACTGAATTTACACCACACCTAACAGGGAACTTATTTATTTAGCTCCACGATCATGGCACATCTGGCCTTCCATATAGTTTGAGCAAGCAAAAGCAGGGAGGAAATATTGCTCTTACGCCTTTAAGAAGGCCTCAGTCCAACCACATTGAAATATGCAGTAGGTGTGCACTTGCACAGCTCTGTGGCTTCAGCTGAACCGGAGGTTTTATCCTGATGCCGCCAGTGGAAGATATAAAACCCCACAGCCCAATTAGCTTTAACAGCAGTGGCACTTAAAGAGACAATTGTGGAGTGTTTAAATCTTTATTTACCAGAACCCCCACTAAATACGCAAAGGAACAATTTACATGCCATTAAGCGCTTTTCAATAGGGCATTGACTGGAACTAAAATATGCCACTATATCCGCTTAATTGAACTGTTCGCTGAAATACGGCGGAGAAGAGCTGATTGACGTTTGGAGGCGCAGCTCGTCTAAACAGGGGTCTTTACACAAACATCGATGAGAAGGGGGGGACCTTTCACTCACATCTCCGTGGCTTTTTCGTTTTTCATTTATGTCCCGTTAATCAGGTGTTAAAGGGGGTTTAAAGCGAGGGCGGGGATGTGTGGGTTTCAAATCACAGTCTTAATGTGATAATCTTTGCGCAATAAAAATCGAAACGACTGATCAAGGAGTGAAATCAAAACGGCGAGGCATTCGTTTGAGCTAGTAACGAGGCCACATTGCTCCACCAAAAAGAAACAGCGGATATATTTATTGGCTGCAGAGTGACCACGCAGGCCTTTAAATCAAATTTGGAGAGTTGATGTCCCAAAAGTGCACAGGGGACACAGCGCAGGGCCAAAGAAAGACGCATCTGTTTGTGTCTCTGCCTTTCAGATCCGAATCGATCCTTTATCAGTGCGCTACACTGAAAGGGGACGCCTGGACCTGAAATATCGATCCATAAGAGGTCATGCTCCCTCTGGCTCTGGCCAGGCCTCAGACTGCACCCTTGTTGGTGACGGCTGCTAAATTATTTGAACACGTTTATTTTAGTTTATTAAAGCTTTTTTTTTTTTTTTTTTTAGCAGTCAAAAGTCTGTATCTCAAGTTAAAATTGACATTGTTTGACCCTTTTTTCTGCGTGGGGGTTACTTATTTGAATGGCGAATAGAATGTGTTCCAGTCTGTATCCGCGCGTAAAAGTGCTGCATGTGCGCCAAACCAAACTGGTCTGCAGACTGCGGTCTCACATGATCCGATTCTTTTGTTTATCACCAAGCATGTGTTTATACAGTCGTGGATTGTGGCATCAATCAAAATATAGATCACTCCCCCACTCCTCTCCCCCCACAACATTTAACACCCCAACTGTCATGATGAAGTTTTACTCGATACGATCGACTAATAACTTCAAGTAATGTCTGTTTGAGCAGCTATTGGCAGTCTCGCCACATTGACTACAGATTGATCCCTCCACATCACTCAGGTTGGGAGCTGTCTCCTCACTCACCTGCAAGCCTGAGCGCTGACATCCGCTGGAACTCGGGCTCCTGCAGCCACTTCCACATCCTCCTGAACGTCTCCCGGCCGGATTTGAGTTTACTCCACGGTTTAGGGTTCCGCAGCAGGTCGGACAGAGTTCCCTGGGACCGACACAAGATCCTCTGTGCGAAGATGGCCTGCGGAATACTGTAGCGCTTGAGCTCCGCCGTTATCCGCTGCGCCACTTCCTTGGTGTTTATCTCCTCCACCTGTCCCGACCCGGCTCCCTGCCCTCCTCCCACCACCGTCTGCCTGTCCCGGTCCGACAACATGGATCCGTTTGCCTGAGAGTGCGGATGGCTGTGATGATGGATGCCGTTCAAGGATGTCATGAGCCCGGCCCCGTGGCCCCCGAGACCTCGGGCCAGGTGCTCCTCGCCCCGGGACAGCATGGCTGCGTGGGACTCGAATCCCCCCGATGAAAGCATCTTGTCGTTAGACAGGTGAGCTCCAGGACCGTAGGCGCTCAGGGTCTGCTGCGAGCCGTGCAAGGACCCGAGACCGTTGGAGAGAGGGGACAGGGGCTGTCCCATGCCGGACATGTCTTTGGGGTAGTGGCCGTAGAGGTTACTCATGGAGGCGAGGCTGCGGTCGTCCCTCATCAGGGTGAAGCTGCCGCTGACGTTCCCAGCCGCGAGCCGCTGGTGCGCCGGGTGATGGTGAGCATGCGGGTGAGGGTGGTGAAATTTCTCCGACACGGTGGATATGGGGGGCAGGTGCTGCAGCGGCGTCAGCGTGGTGTAGGTGCTGCTCAGGCTCATTCCGGAGTCGCAGGACATGGTCATGGCCGGGTGCAGGGGCCCGGAGAGAGCGTGGTCCGTGCGGTAGTCCCCGGCTCCCTCCAGTATGGAGGCCATGCTGGACACCATGGCTGACCGCCCGTGTGACACCAAGTTCCGATGCGACGCCGACGACTGGCGCGCGTGCGGGGCGTTCATTAAGTCGCCTGTCTGATGAGAGTGAGACACGCCGTGCAGATTTCCGATGTTCTCCATTGTAAGCTCCATCGCTGAAAGGATCTTTATTTCCACCCCTCTCTCTCGCCGCTCTCTCCCTCTCCCCGCTGTCGCTCTGTCTCACACTCCTTTCCCAATAAATTTTCAACGATTTCAAAGCCACGCCATTGATTGCAGCTGCTTTCTCTGCGGTCAATCCAGCATGGTTTTAAAAGATCGCCACACACACACACACACACTCGCACACAAACACACACACACACACACACACACAAAAAGAAAACCCCGCGCCGCCAAAAAGCCTCAGCTCGGTGTGTGGAGAGTGTCTGCGCCTGCCCCGGATTACTCTTACTCTTCAGCACCTTCTTCTATACCCAAAGCGCTGCTCTGCTCGGCTCGGCTGTGTGTATATCGACGCGCCCCTCTCGCTCCTGTTAAGTCGAGACCGAGTCTGTGCGCATGTGCGCGCCCCCGCGGGCCGTGCATCCTCGCTCTCGTCGCTCTCCGTCTGGGGGCCAATCTGACGTCACTGCCGCCCTCCTCCCCACGCCTTCTCCCGCTAGCCCCTGCCTCCCCCCAAACTGACTGTCATGCGTTTTGTTGTTCATGTTGCAAACTGAACCACGAATTCCCGAGAAAAGATTGCATTAGGCTTGTCAGATAAAAACACAAAAGTGCAATCTTTTGCAGAGTATGCAACATTTACACTCAGGTGGATAAGAAGGTCTCGCTCCTTGTTTTCTGCGATAAAAGGCGCCAGAAACGCATGTGATTGCTCTGTTGAAGGTTAAATATTAATTGATGATTCACACCAAGCCACGAGTGTGATGAGAAAATGGGCTCAAAAACCGTGTAATACTAAGCTGTTTCTGAAATTCAGCTTCACGCCTTGGATCCCGATATTTGATCTTTTATCCCGGCGATCTCTTCCGCAAATGAAGCCCACATCTTTCCATTTAGCGCATGAGCATAACTTTTTCTCTTCCAAGTTATTTTTCTTTCCTCCGGCGAAAATTACTGCATAAAATCTACAGAGCTTTATTTCATCATAGCCTCTAGGCTTTGACCCCTCTCCTGCATCTCATGTGTGCCGGGACCGGCTGAGACCACCAAAATCAAACTGCTCGCAACAAACTTCCCACGCCCTTATTGCAAACTTCTTGCATGAAACCCGCCGCTCGCTCATGTCAATCCACTTCAGCCATCCATCAGTGTCAGAGTGCGTATGGATCAGGAGCTGCGTCGATATAGGTTGGTGCGGTGCCTATTGCAGGAGCCCCGGGTATATGGGTGCAATACAGCATCTCGCACGTCCAAGATCGAGGGATTGGATTTGGTTGTGTGGGTCGTCTTGGAGTGGAAAGTAAGAGTGTAAACTTCATCGTGGTGGTCAAAGAGTTTAGAGAACTAGCTAGAGTTGTATTTTTTTATTTATTTATTTGTTTGTTGGGGGGGGGGTTCCATTCAATATTGCTTTTGCTTCCAGTTTATTCAAATTCAAGGCAGTAGTACCACCAACATTCCTATGATTTATGTTATTTTCATCAAATCCAACAAATCTGAAGTTTGCATTTAAAGGATTAAAGGTTATAACCAGATAAGATTCAAAAGTGTTATTTTGATTTTAAAAAGCCCCAAAAATGACCACAATTAAACCAAAAGCAAAATAATATGCAACCATCGGCTTTGTTGAACAATTTACTAAAGTTATTATTTTTGGGTATAGGCTAAGCACTGATTATTTATTTGTTTATTTTTTTATCCGTGTGTCATTTCTTAGCAGTCAAGGCGAACAGCAGAGTGGGTCTGGTTGCCTTAGTGTGTTGGGGTAGATTTGCTCTACACAAAACAGTGAAGAGAAAATGACACAACCGCCACTGAAAAATTGACTGTGTGAAATCAGCGCCTCAAGAGAAAAGAATCAGGTTCAGGTAACAGGTCAAAATAAGGAGACAAAAGATTTGTCACATTTCTAATAGCGCAATCACAATGATGATGATGATGATGATGAACAAAACAGCAAACACTTAATACAAAAATGTGCAATTTTAAATGTGCACCGTTTGTGTTTATGAAGTTGTACTATAAATATCAAATAAATCATCTACTGTGTCGGCTTGTGAACATATTAATTTACAAAAGACTAGAATCTGATGATTATTGGCTATTACAATCCATGGGTTAGGAATTAATGCTGTGTATGCCAATAATGGATTTTGCCATTAGCATGGAGTCTCATAGTAAAAACATCATATGAAAAGTGTGGATTTATACAAACTAGTGTGATTGTGGCAGTATTGACCAATACGATGACCATCACATCATTTCTAATACTGTGCAGCCCGATTCACATGTTACCAGTGAGTGGGACCACAAATGCACAGTTAGGAGGCTTGGCGGAGGTCTGACTTGTGAAGAAACAGCCACACTACGGTTAGACAGACGTGAAGGCACAATATGTAGATATGAGTGCTTTTAATATGAATTTACAAAAGGAAGTAGTTGCAACAGTCATGCATTTTTAAAATCTATTTCTTCTTTATTTGTTCATGCATATAGTTGTCTTTGTCCATAGCACACACATTTTGAATGTTCATCACTCTCTCTCAGATGCTGCCACTCCACAGTTGGCACCAGGTTGCACTGAGCTTTGAGTAGATTTTGATTTGTGGGGCCATTTATTTAAAACAACACTTACAAACTTAATGATGTGGCTGTAAATTAGTCTTGGAAACAAGTTTATTCCTTACACTGAATGACTTAGTGTAAGGTGTGTGGCTGATGTGCCACTTTTGAGTAGAGACTCATTAAAGTCAGGAAGAAGGTGCAAAGTTCAAACAACTGTGCAAACAAGAAATCACAGATCATATTTATGCTTGACTTTATATTAATTTGCAGAGTATGGCTGAACTATTAAACTTGGCGCTGACAAAAAAGCAGAACAAATTATTTAAATGGCTGGATTAAATTCTGACTGTTAGATGACTGTCAAACTATGAAAATGTTTTTCTCTGTCAGTACATTTTATATTTTAAAAGTATAAAAAAAGAGGTCCACATTAGATTTAAACGTATGTGACTTTCGGTAAATATAGCTAAAATTTGACGGTTTGAAATAAATATTTTAGGAGATGTCACGCTTTCGGAGGCTAAGCAGCATCTTATTGGTCCCTGACGCACTGAGCCATATATGTCGTCAAATATGAAACAAAAAAAAAAAACCTTCTGAAACTATTTTATGGCCACTTATGTAGTCGGTGTGACACACCAACTTTATAAGTAGTCACCTCCCACGAGACCACTTCTTTGAAATATTTTCTGGACGCGTCCCGCTCTGCAAACTCAAAACACGTTGGCATTTACACCGGTGTTATGTAAAATGAACCCATTAGGATTTCGACCTGAAGCTGGGTTAAAAAGAACTACCCAAACAATCCTGGAAGTGCATCACTTATCATCTGCAAATTACATAAAACAATCCTGATCAGTGTTTACCCACTGTTAGGTCACGGCCATCCATAACCTCACTAATGAATTATGATGTCGCTGGCCTTGGCACGCAGCTCCTCTCCCACCGTGGATGACACTAAAAGTGTTCGCAGTGTTCGCTGACTGCCAACCGGGGAAAAGGTGGCTCTCTGGTTGTGGCATCCGGAGAACAGCAGTGTCCGCTTGGGTTAATGTCCCCGTATTGATCCCGGCAACCACCGCTATCGAAAATGAATTACCGAAGCCCGAGCAGCAGCGAATCCGTCATCTGTGCTCAGCCAGCCGGCCACAGCACCGTATTGGTCGCGGTGGTGATGGATGTTAACTTTCACTGCCGCCTCTTTCCTCCTAATTCATCGGACTTACAATCCCCAAAACGGCGTGCTGGAAAGTTTCAGACCTTCGCCGAAAACACGGACACTTCCTGCGCCGCCTGTGCGTCTTTCTGTAATTTCTGTCTTATGTGAGGAATCATGTCACACACACACACACACACACACACACACACACACACACACACACACACACACACACACACACATTGCACGATCAGGGTCAAAAGGGCACGGGGGAACTGATCAGGATCCCGCGTCTATTTTAAATCAATCACTGTTGATTCCACCTACGTTCTTGATCGAATCTTTTAAAATGAAAATGAAATTTAAATGCAAAATAACCCCCGTCAAACAAACACACACATACACATGTCTCCTTAAACTTTATATGCATACGCCTAGAGCTCAGTTTTAATTTGTATTTTAATGCGCTGCTTTCAGATCCAAAAGAGCATATCCTATGGCAAATACAATATAAAATATTAACTTTGTCAATATCGCCGTTGTGAGTGGGGCGACGCTGCACAGAATGGTGATTAATTTCATATTAATAGATGCGAACGAGCACCATTTTGGCATCGACTTTGCAGTGATTGCGCAGCAGACTGTGTGCGCTTTAGCGGCCCTGTTTATAACTCCAGGTTCTGTTCTCAAAAGTTATAATAGATTTTCTGGAAGTACATAGACGATTAACAACAAATTAATCCCTTCTAATAAGAAGATTCAAAAATCTATTATTATTATTATTATTATTATTATTATTATTATTATTTTGTTTGATTGTTTTCGCTTTTTCTCAAAGCAGTCGATCAAGTAATCAATGCCGCACCGATAGTTCTGCTCTGATGGCTCGATTGTGCCAAAAATATCTACTGCGCAGAAATTCCTCTATATATTTTATTTTTAATTCTTGCAGCAATTTTTAGAATAGGTTTTACTCGTGAGAGGAATGTGACAATTAATTATTTTTCAGACAGAAACGAGTGTCCTCCCAACTAAATCACAATAATAACTATAATATAAATAACAATCAACAGTACTGTGTGTGTGTGGGGGGGGAGGAGGGGGGCATGCTGCGTGTGTACAGTATTTTGTCTAACGCAAGTTGTGCACTTAATTTTTCATCCATTGTTTATCATTCGTCCTTTCTTATTGTCCTCCTAGAAATGCAGAAACTATTTGTCCAGAAAACACGAAAAGACAGTTAGTGGTGTCCAAATGTGGTTAAAAAAGTTGTCGAGATAAATTCTCTGTGTTTAGGCCAAAATTGGCTAAAAAAAAAAAAAAAAACATTTTCAAAGCTAAGTAGATGAAAGAACTGTGAAACGTGTCTTTTGATGTCCGGTGAATGGAGAGTAGATTTAGTCCCTGAATCCATTTTTTATTTTCTTTAAAACTTTTTTATTTTTAAGGTCAATAATTTAATATCTCCACACTGTATCTGAGTGAGTGTGTCCTCCGTTAGACGAGCTTCCCCGCTAAGCTTGTCTATTTTCCCAGGAATCACTCGATAGAGACAGACTAATCTTTTCATGACTTCTTGAATGACTCCGCGGCTGATGCATCACGCCTAATGTATTCTAAAGTATATTTACTTGAATCTGGCTATTGGCAAAAGTTAAGTAGCA